GAACATTCTGGAATGGTTAATAGATGGTCTAGGTTGTATGGATTCAGTCGTTAAACCTGTATTTATCGTTCGGAATACCCCGTGTTAAAGTTTTCGAAGTTGTATGATCAGATATCACATTCCGACTGTCACTTTCATGATCTGGTAAGCGACGTTCTCATTGGTCAGATGAAAGGTCGGTCTGACGTGACCCATAATGGGATGTCCTCAGATCTTTGTTTAGCGGTAGCGAGAACCACGGTCTGATTTTAATGAGATTGAAGTACTACTATTGTACATTGGGATCTAAAGCTGAATATTGAGCATGATAAAATAATTATCCTTGATCATGGCATTATTGTAAACGACAGCATAATTTGTAGTCGCATTGTGCAATCAATATTGGAAGTTGAAATATATTCTCAACAGTCTTAATGTTATTATAGTTATTGTTAGTATGTTTATGATGATGATTATGTGATGTTGACAAGTACCAACACAAATGTGCATGCACCCTCTTTTGTATACAGCAACTTTAGAATGGGATGTTGGAGATGCCTTCAGACCTTAACACAACTTGACAATAAGATGTACTGAACAAAGAAATTTAGGATCATGAATATATTTGGGGATATTTTTTATGAAATTGTGTGCTCAGTCTTCACTACAAAAAAATATCCTTCCAAATATTCATGGTCCCTAACTTTTTTTTGTTCAGTATATGTTTTAAAGAGCACCATAACTTACTGCTACTAACGTTGCTACACTTAACCATGGCATGACACATTAACTATTGTAGGATGAAAGAATCGAGTAGTCTTTAACTTTTTAGGAGTAGTACATAACAGAAATACTGTCCCCAGTTCTCTGTTGGGGTTCTGAGTTAGAATAGATCCCAGGAACCTGTGCTTGTTTTAAGAGGCGATTTAATTCATCGGCTGATCAGATTCTGTGAGTTGGTTGGTTGTCATCCAACCCCAACAATTTGGATCATTGCTCACAAACATCAATCACGGGATTGTATGATCCAGACATTACTTACAGGCCGCTGTCATAGCTGGGAAAATGCTGAGTGAGGCCTTAAACAAAAAAATAAACAAAGTTGTTCCATGTGACTCGCTGTTCACTCATGGGGTGGATGGTTTTTTTTGAGAACTCCCTGTATGACAACCTAAGTTAGTCATAAAATTGACCAAGGAAAGTAATGCCCACTGCTGCACGTTTTCTCTGTATATTTGTTTCTCAGTGAGATAATGTATATATGAATGTCTATACACATAGCCAGGTGTATCTTGTGGATCAACTTTGTTTGTTGTGTACATTTCTTAATAAATTATGGTGAAATTTTACTTTGTTGTTGAGTTTTCATAGTCGATGCTGCTAAAGTTATTGTTTCAACATATTGTTTCAATGTGTCATTACAGGCAGTTTTACCTTTGACCACAAGCAAGTGATTGAGTGAGTGATGGAGAGAGTGAAGTGAGGGTGTGAATCATTGAGTAATAGAGAGTGAATGAATGATGGTGTAAATCATTGAGTAATAGAGAGTGAATGAATGATGGTGTAAATCATTGAGTAATAGAGTGAATGAATGATGGTGTAAATCATTGAGTAATAGAGAGTGAATGAATGATGGTGTAAATCATTGAGTAATAGAGTGAATGAATGATGGTGTAAATCATTGAGTAATAGAGTGAATGAATGATGGTGTAAATCATTGAGTAATAGAGAGTGAATGAATGATGGTGTAAATCATTGAGTAATAGAGTGAATGAATGATGGTGTAAATCATTGAGTAATAGAGAATGAATGAACGATGGTGTAAATCATTGAGTAATAGAGAGCGAATGAACGATGGTGTAAATCATTGAGTAATAGAGAGCGAAAGAATGATGGTGTAAATCATTGAGTAATAGAGAGAGAATGAATGATGGTGTAAATCATTGAGTGATAGAGAGCGAAAGAATGATGGTGTAAATCATTGAGTAATAGAGAGTGAATGAATGATGGTGTAAATCATTGAGTGATAGAGAGCGAAAGAATGATGGTGTAAATCATTGAGTAATAGAGAGAGAATGAATGATGGTGTAAATCATTGAGTGATAGAGAGCGAAAGAATGATGGTGTAAATCATTGAGTAATAGAGAGTAAATGAATGATGGTGTAAATCATTGAGTAATAGAGAGTGAATGAATGATGGTGTAAATCATTGAGTAATAGAGAGTGAATGAATGATGGTGTAAATCATTGAGTAATAGAGTGAATGAATGATGGTGTGAATCATTCAGTAATAGAGTGAATGAATGATGGTTTTAATCATTGAGTGATAGACAGCGAATGAATGATGGTGTAAATCATTGAGTAATAGAGAGTGAATGAATGATGGTGTAAATCATTGAGTGATAGAGAGCGAATGAATGATGGTGTAAATCATTGAGTAATAGAGAGTGAATGAATGATGGTGTAAATCATTGAGTAATAGAGAGCGAATGAACGATGGTGTAAATCATTGAGTAATAGAGAGCGAATGAACGATGGTGTAAATCATTGAGTAATAGAGTGAATGATTGATGGTGTAAATTAATGAGTTTGCAGTCATGGGCAGGTCGTGCATGACGTGCTTGAAAACCTGTGTTTAGGTGCATCTTGACATTCGTTGCACATCATTATCAGAGACCACGACAACATTTGCTACCGAGGATTGCAACTGAATACACTTACGCCCACTCAGCATCAAAGACGTCGTTTGACCACCGAGGTATTAGGCAGATGCATAGGCATGCTTGAAAGTGGGTCAATACAGCATCATGTAACAAACATCTTTGGTGTCGACCAAAGTATACTGATGGAAATAAATAAGGGATCGCATAACGTGTTTGGTCAATGAGTCCGAATGTTGTTATTTTTTTGTGGCCGTTTTTCGGAAGTACATGGTCAACATCTCCAAGACGCAGGCCATCACCTGTAGGAAGACATGTTGTGCACGTGTTTCAGTAGTTTTTCATGGCACAGTGGGGTATAAAGTCTTCTACTGTAAGACCGATCTCATTGACATCAACTGCGTGAAACATGCCAAGACAGTACATGTGTTTGAAGGAGAAGTGGCAGGCAATCGGGATGGTGTGGTCAGGCCAGTCACTGCGAGAAGTTGCAAGACACTTTCAGAAGTCCATCAGTGTCCTCTAAAGGCTGTGGAACCTCTACAGGCAGACCGGCGATGTTGTCATGAGACGTGGGCGTGGGCGACCAAAGAAAACTACAGCTCGTCAAGATCGTCAGATTCGGCTGATTTGTTTGAGGGATCGCTTTAAACCTGCTCCAAAAGTGAATGCCGAGTTCAGAGCTGTCACACATCTACGGTTAAGTGATCGCACAGTTCGTAACAGGCTGCGTTCAGCGGGTCTACAAAGTCGCCGTCCCGTGGTAGGAATCAAGATGACTCAAGAACACAAACGGCGAAGGTTACAGTGGGCAAGGCAGCATTGAGCCAGACAGCTGCGTCGTTGACGATACACCATGTTCAGCGATGAGTCTCGTTTCAATATGGACAATGCAGATGGTCGGATACGTGTTTGGAGACGACGTAATGAACGATACCAAGCATGCACTGTCAAACAGCATGAGAGATACGGAGGTGGATCAGTGATGGTCTGGGGTGGAATCACCTACGACAACCGAACAGATTTGATTCGTGTGGATGGTCGTCTAACTGGTGTTCGTTACCGTGGCGAAGTGTTACGCCCAGTGGTGCTTCCGTTCGCTAACAGAAGTGGGCGGTTGTTCGAGTTTCAGCAGGACAATGCAAGGCCACATACTGCTCGTGTTTCAGCCGATTTTTTTAGGCAGAACCAGGTCGCTGTGCTTCCATAGCCGGCTAAAAGTCCAGACGTTAACCCGATAGAACATTTATGGGACGTTCTTGGTCGTTGGGTGCGAGATCGCATTAATCAACCTCATAATCTGGACGAGATGTTTGACTGTTTGAGACAAGAGTGGCATAATGTTCCAAGGGCTACAATCCGGGCATTAATTCGGAGTATGCCAAGACGTTGTCAGGCTGTTGTGAGAGCTCGTGGTGCTCACACGTCATACTGAAGAACTGAGATTAAGTCATTATTTACCATGTAGCTTTCATTTGATCAAGTGTTGTATAAAAAATCTTATGTCTGCATCATTTATTCGATCCTTTATTTTATTCCATCAGTGTATGATCAGCAGGGCATGGAATCGATACCAGTTTTGTATCGGCCACCCAGTGACAGGTGGTCGACAGCGTTTCACCTCACAGCGGGAAAACTGGTTTCTCCTGATTGCTGCAAGACGTTCATAAACGTCAGTTAAGGGCATGAAAATACCGTTTTATTTTGGTTTGTAAATATCTTTTTTGCCGGGACATTTCGTAACCAAGACAATTTGTAGACCATCTCGTCATTTCATCAATCATACTAGACATCCCAGTAGGACTCGTATGGAGAACATCGAGAGCCTTATCAAAAAGTCTTCACGTCCAACAATTACTACATTTATAATGGCATTTTGTAACACTCTGACAAGTCACAAAATCACCTGTTATCATTTTTTCTATGATTTAGTTATTCTTAAACCTTTTTTCCTTTGTAAATTTTGTCGTTAAAATGGTTGATTCCTGCTTTATTTAATCATTAATGTAGGTGCCTACGAGTTTGTTGGTAAAGAATATTAGTTACATGTCTTTTCTGACTTCGGCCTCAACTGTGAGTTTGTACAGAATATTAGAATACATGTTCCTGTGGTTGAAAACATGTATATTTACATTCGTAACCAAGGACGCTACCCATGCGATCGTATGACTGGATATGGTACATATTTGCCTCCTGTTAGCTAATAACTTGCTGCGCACACGTTTGTACCACATTTTGTGGCCTCCGCCTGTGGGCTTATACTTGCTGCGGTAACCAACCTTGCAACCATTACTAGCGGTATAAGAAATGCTAGGAAACTGAGAGTTATCTCCCTTCCGTTAGTGCCGATCGTTGCCTAGCTACTAATCTCAGCAAAACGACGCCATTGTTGTTGCTATTGCATCTGCTGCATCTCTCTGTTGTCAATCAATTTCTACCTTCGATTTTGAACATCGCTTGAGTTTTTCACCATGATGTCAAGTAGTTATGTTCAAGGTACCAATATTACAGCTTTATGATGATTTTGTTTCAATCTGTCGTTTAATGTGGTGTGACAGGCCCATGTGTCCTAACGAACTGAATACACCCCCGTACAATCTTACGTTGATAAACGTACTGAAACGTTTCTTGGGATGTACTAAACGTTATCCTTGTGTTTTTATGTAATATCTGAGTTACTTAAATGGCTAATCCTCACATATGTAATGCAAATTCTCTGTCCCGATAGATGTGTACTAGATTCTTTATTGTATCAAATATAAAGACGATACAAGTTCACACAAGTAAACATAGGTATACGTAGGTCTACATGCTTACTTGTACCTGATCATGACTTCCTATGTACTCTCTATTTAACGTATTCTTATCACTTCTCCCCCATACAGAGAGGTTTTACCAGGCCCTCACCCCTGCTGCCGCTCCTGTCCCACGTCGAGTAGGTGTGCTAGGCTTGTAGAAACAGAATAAAACGTGACATCAATTTTCTCAGTATTTGCTTTTGCAACCGATTCCTGTCTAAGTTTGAATGTTGTTCCATATCCTTCTCCTGTATGACCACTCTTTCCTAACCCACCACACAATTAACCTTACCTATCATGCTTGTCTCATCACTTCTCTTTTTCCACCTCCTCCCCAGCGTCCTTGTGTGTACCACCCTGAACCCCTGTCCACCCTCCCCACCTCCTACACCTCTGTCCCCGACCCAGCCCCTGTCTCTGTTTCTGTCAACATCACCGGCCACGTCATTATGGTTGACACCGACTTTGTGGAGATCGACCTCGGCCGTGAGGAAGACACACAACCCGTCCCACCCCAGTCCTTCCTGAGAGCCTTGTGGTCCCGCTTCATCCGTCTGGTCAAGAGAGTCTTCACCTCCAACAAAGACGACGTTTAAGTGACATTTAACACCATTTACCATTCTTCTTTTTGGGGACATTTTGGCACAGGAATTAACAAACTTCCCTGTTTTCATTCCCACTTGGTTGTTCTTTCGTTAGTAAATCATGATGTTATTGTTCTAATTGTTGTTTGCTGCTGTATTTTATATCAAATGTAGATGTCCGGTTACACATGGATCAAACGCCATCATCGCCATCAAGCCAATAATCAAAAGCTTCCAGTGACATTACATTTATGCAAGTTCATATGTCAGTCCGGGGGTCTACGTTTGTAGATCTCCTTAGGTCTGTGACAGCATGGCGAATAAATATCGAATACACATCAATAATGACCACTGAATATGTTACTGTGTTAATATGTTAGCTTAGTTGTCCAGCATTAGAATGCCATTTTCGTAGTGATTCATAAACGTTCAGTAGAGTGATGTCTAAACTGCATTTGACAAGCCCAAAAGGTCCACGTTCTCTCTCCCTCTCTCTCTCTCTCTCTCTCTCTCTCTCTCTCTCTCTCTCTCTCTCTCTCTCTCGTTAACAAACAAATAAACAATACTACTACCCATCAGTTGTGCTTGTCATGGTCACGTGTTTCAGGGTATGTTTGGGACATTAATACACAGCCACATATACATATACGAATTCAACGGTGACCCTTGTCTAAAGATAATCCTGTAATTTAACACTGCTGAGTCACTATGCATACATTGTTTGTACAGATCACGTGACAGTCATATGACTTGGATTTATCTGCTCTATTTAAGAAAGCTTACGATAAGCACACTTGGTTCTTTTCGTCACAAAGACACAGCCGGGCTCTCAATTCACTACAGCAACCATGAAGCTTCTCCTTGCACTCGGACTTGCTGCATTAGCCACGGCACAAATCCCCATCCCCAAGCGGGAGGTGGGGTTTGTGTACAACTCAGGGTCTCCTATGGCCCCTGTTCATTTAGATTTCTACATTGATCAGATTTGCCCCGACAGCAAACAGGCATGGCCTACTATTTTGAAGCTCGCAGATACCTATGGACCAAGCGTGCTTCAACTTACAACACATTTGTTTCCCCTGCCGTATCACAGAAACTCCTTCTATGCTAGCAAGGTAAGTGGGGGGTTTCCGGGATTCAAATGTGGGCGTGGTTTTAGCTTAATGTAAGGATACGATAGATCTCACAATTAATATTTCGCGCAGTAATCCTGTTTTGTTTATTTAAAGCAGTAATTGTTTATTGTTAAGCAAGTTTATCTCTGCAGTCGTTGAAATATGCAGCTACTCGCCGAGTCGGCAGATGACCACGGAGTACGCTGATCAACGAGACTGATTAATGAGTGATTTCAGCAATTCGTTTCAAATTAGGTGTGTCGGAGTCGGAGTGCGAGACTGTCGGTTTAACGGGTCTAAATAGCACTGATTAAATCGGTTCCCATCATGTGTGTCGGATTAAGCCGATTGTCGGATTAACGAGACTTGACTGTAGTGAGTTTTGTTTTACGAAGTAAGCTATACAGCCGTCACGGCTGCCTGTAAAACATTGAACCAGCTGTTGATAGCGTGAGCATATTGGGTGTGATGACGCGCCAGCAGCTGTACAGTTAGGTACATGGTAGATCTGACAGTGCAACCACACTACTCTCATTGTGTAGTTGACATTACGATAAGCATGGGGATTCGGGATATATTCTGACCTTGAATCCCCACGTTGCATAGAAAAACGACTGGTGAATTAATTCCCTCATTTAGCTGACACTTCGTGATTCAACTGAAATTTTCACTCACGCTCTTAATGTGAAAATGAAGGTGGGTATTATGAATAATCGAGTATTCATGGAAGACATGAACAGATTCGGGTCGTAAACATGCACAGGTGGCAAGTACGATAAAGCGCTTAACTAGGGTAATCGTCCTCCAGACCTTCACTGAGATAATGGCAATGTCATGAACACTTCGACTTGTCGACTTTTACGGATGTTTAAAGCGCATCCCTATATAATCTTGAACGCGACGTTGAACCCAATTTCATCCCACTTCTAATACGAAGTGTTCCGGCTCCTGTTGGGATTCTGGGTCAAATCAGGTCCACTGTATATGCCGTAGGGTGTTTGTTATCCCCCGCAACCCGTTTTGCCGGTTTGCTATTTTGAATTGTTTTTTTTAATAAAATCGAGTTTCCATGGCAAGAACTTTGACTTCGACTGAAAATGGCGGTAGTGCTAGTTTCGGAGCAGATCTTGAAAACCGTACAACACTTCGTCACCATACTTGGCACATGGATATAGGTTCAGTGGTGAACTGGTGCCTTTTGTTGCTTTTGAGAAGTTTCATATATGTATCCACGACAAGTATTTGCCACTGCGGGGTATATCGATGACTTTGTCCTCTTGTTTCTTGGTTGTGTAACGCAACACTCGACAATATTCCAGCAATATGACGACGACTTTAAACACTCGAATCTGGAGACAAGCCAGTGATTGACATCATGCGCATCAATCTACGAAATTGGCGTGCATCAACCAAGTCAGCGAGAGTTGTTAGATCCAGTTAGTCGCCTCTTACGACTAGCATTGGTTGCTGAAGACCAATTCTATCTCGCATCTTCACGGGAGTTACCTCGTAAGAACCAGCTGAACATTCGGGAGATCGGGCTGACTTACTTGGTTGATTGTGTGGGCGTCTCACTTGGCACATACGACTTTGTCCTGACTCGCTTATTGACACCCCGCAGTCACATAGCTGGAATATATGACTGCGGCGGAAAACGGCATTCAATCACTCCTCATTCCTGCTCCCACACAGTACCCAATCTGATCCTCCATTGTGAAGATTTGATTCCCTTTCAATCGCCTGTTATGACACTTTCCCTGGAATTTGCAAGGTTAATTTGTATCCATAAACACGGTGAAATATGATTCTGTTGCTTCTCTACATACAATTTATTATGTATTAGGTGATGCTACTGATGAAATATATATTTATGTGAAACCATAAAATCGATATTTTACTGGAATAAACAACTTTTTAGATGCCATAGCGCTGAATGATACATGATGTTAGTATAAATTTTTTTATCATATTCTCCACTCGGAACTGCTCGTTAACGTTCGTTTTCGAGATACAAAAGTCAAATGTGCTGCTCACAGTGCTCAGAATGCTTCGTTGGTACCGATAATTTAGAAGCCCCGATTTAGATAGGCTGTTCTGAAGGGTCTGTCCTATCTTCCCGCCGAGAGGTATCAAATCTGAGTAAAATATATATTTTAAAATTAATACCACATTGGGCCCTGACGACATATGCCGTAAATCCTTGAATATAAGCCTTAAATAAAGGCCTGTTGAAACGCTGCTCCCTAAAAACTTGTGAAACATTGAGAAGAGACAAGAAAATTGAAAAACAAACAAAAAACAAACGTACATGCATTCCTCGAATTAAGGACTTCAAAAATAGTTACTATTCAATGATTTACGGAAACTGGCATATTGCTGATATGTGTGCATTAACGTTCACCAATTGTGTATACACTCATTGTCAGCATTGTTTATGAAAAGAGTGTTTACTCGCCCTGCAGGGTTCCCACATCGTCAACCAACAGACCAAGGGGGCGAACACCTACTTGTGGATCCAAACCGTCTACAGCAACATCGACTCACTCACCAACGCAGTCACCCTCAACCTGTCGGACACACAGATAATCGAGTTGGTACAAATATGTAACATTTGAAAAATAATTTTATAACTCATCATTTAAATATGTGAGGCGATTTAGAAATATTGTCTGGACTAATTCAGCGCAAATAACTCCCATCTATCATGTTTCCGACAAGAATCGTTACGTCACAAATTTAAGTGCATACATGTTTACTTAATTATAGTATTTTAATAATTTCATTACATTGATTGCGACAGTACATGAATAGGTTTCTTTAACATTTTACTTATTTCTGGTCGGTGGAAAAAACCCCAATGCTTTTCATGTTTTTGTTTTGACATTCCAATTTTTTGCGTCGGCGGATTCGTAACGTTTTAAAAAACAAGGCTGACGTTACACCACGGAAGCTTTTGTGTGGAGAGGCGATTTTTTTCGCTGTTAACTCCGATGAATCAGTGTTTAGATAGCCGCTGTGTTTATATCCTCTTTGCAAATTGTTCAATATCTTTATACAGGTCAGGGTGATAACGTTTGTGGTAACACACTGAACTCAATATGCAAATGTTATCTTGTTTTATTTAATTTTAAGTAAGATACAAACAAGATTCTGTTGATTTTCCGTGATTATTAAATTTTCTGGACACGTGTGGAATAATAATGTTGTGAATTTATTTATGTAGTTGAACAAATGAGCAATGATGCGAGCAGTTGTTCAATTCTTCCCTCTCCACTTCCAGTAAATATGCCGCGATAGCCAGTGGAGTAGGTGTCCCAGTCGCGACCTTCAAGTCTCTCATCCTGGACGATACGATTGAGATGGACACGAGGGTAGAGTGGAAGTACTGCTGCACAAGTAAGCGACTTACCATTTTCTAGTCTGAAAAATTCCCCATTACTTAATGGTTGTCATACATCATACATTTTGGTAGCCGGGCACAGTAACATCGACTCACTCACTCACCACAATCTCATTAAAATCAGATCTTAGTTCTCGCTACCGCTAAACAAAGATCTGACGACATCCCATTACGGGTCACGTCAGAACGACCTTTCGCGAACTTTGACCGATCAGTGAAATCGACATTAGCCAATCAAAAGGCTGTTAAAAAGAACATTCTGGAGTGGCTTACAGATGGCCTAGATTGTATGGATATAATCTTAAATCCCGTAACTGTCGTTCGGAATACCCTCTGTTAAATATTTCGAGGTTGCATGATGAGAAAACACATTCCGTCTGTCACTTTCATGATCTGATAAGCGACGCTCTGATTGGTTGGATGAAAGGTCGTTCTGACGTGACCCGTAATGGGATGTCCTCAGATCTTTGTTCAGCGATAGCGAGAACTAAGATCTGATTTTAATGAGATTGTCACTCACCACTCACCAACAACATCCCAACCTGCATCCCCGATTCTCCCGAGTATTATATCACCACTCTGTCATGATAAAAACCCTGGACCCATTCCCCACCATGGCGTCGTTTTGACAGCGAATGGGTCCAAAGTATTTATCATAATACAATGGACATATAAAAAACACACTCGATAATCGACGATGACCCACCCGTTGTCTGTTAGAATATAATAACCACCTATCTGTCCAACTACTTGTTTGTTTAACGCCGCACTCAGCAATATTCTGGCTATATGAAGTCGGTATGTAAATAACCTGGACCAGACAATCCAGTGATTGATAATATGTTTCGTTTGTTTGTTGTTTAACACCGCACTGTTTGTTCGATGTCTAGGTCGATTGCGTATCATCGAACCCTTACGGTGCAGATCGTTGCTCATATTATCTATCAATCGACCCGTGAAGAGCCGGGTAGAAAAGGTCTTCAGCAACCCATGCCGTAAAAGGCGACTATGCTTGCTGACTTGGTTGACGTATCCCAATTGCATGGGTCGATGCTCATGATGTTAATCACTGGATTGTCTGGTCCAGACTCGATTATTTACAGACAGCCCTCATATAGCTGGAATTTTGCTGCTTGCAGCATTAAACAACAACCAAACAAACAAACTCAGTGGGCTAGCACTATATAACCGGTATTCACACACTCGCTCGCACGCACGCACGCACGCACGCACACACACACAGGTCCATATAAAAGTGAAACAATCTCAAACGCGACGTTTAACAGCATTTCATCTTAAATTTGACATGATACAAATGATTCTGTGACTACGGTGTATGCAAACTCTCTCTCTACTGTTTCAGGAGGTGTTGCTGCCACACCTACTTTCATGTTGAACGACATTCTTGTCGCTGCCGATCCAAGCTGGACGGTCGCTCAGTGGAAGCAGGTCATTGACCCTTTGCTGGGGTTCCACGCGAGCAAGCGTCAAATGGTAAGCTTCGTCAACAAGCACAAAGCTTTTCAGGAAAACACACAGGTCAAATTTAAACAAATGGACTGCTTAAACTTGTTGTCAATTAAATATCCCTGCAGATTGCAGCGTTAGAAATTGGCACTAGTCCCATAGTCCTTGCCAAACTGCCCAATAGTTAAGCTATCATATAGACAACATAGGATTTTGCTATATGTTATCATTGGAAGGACTAATGGACTGAAACAGTTAGTTTCTATCGCTGAGATTGTATTTTGAGGAAGCCACAATCCCAACTCGAACATTTGCGATGAAGGGCCTTTCACAGTCTGATTCGGCCCGTGAAGGTCCGGGGGTAGAATAGGTCTTCAGCAACCCATGCTTGCCGTAAAAGGCGACTAACGGGATTGGGTGGTCAGGCTCGCTGACTTGGTTGATGCATGTCATCGATCCCAATTGCGTGGATCGATGCTCATGTTGTCAGTCACTGGATTGTCTGGTCCAGACTCGATTACTTACAGACCGCCGTCATATAGCTGGAATATTGCTGAGTGCGACGTTAAACAACAAACAAACAAACACAGTCTGATTCATTTTGTGGGTGGGATACTAAAAAATTAGTGGCTGACCGAACTGACAGTATCGTTTGAAAATGTGAATGGGGACACTTACGATTTAGAAAGGGCTTATGTATAACCCCGTTAAGCCAAATAAGTTCGGAAACCCCGTAAATCCAATTGACTGGTCCGTTCGTAAATCCCATTAGTCCAAGTACCCCCAATTCCAGACGACCCTTGCTGGATTAAGAGGGTTTATATGTGGACAGTTTAGTCGTGAAAAACTAAACACTGAATAACTTTCCTTTGCAGTCCACAAGAACCTGCCCCGCGGGCGTCAAGCAGTGTGAGTACCTCCCCGGCAAGGTTGAGTGCTGCAAGACTGGAGAGTTCTGCATCCCTAATGTTGGATGTCGCTGTTGAGAACCAGCATCCTTTGGCTTTGTAACAGTTGTGTGTTGTACACTCCATTCAAGATAGGAGCGCGTGTGTGTTTGTGTGCGTGAGTGTTGCATGTATTGTTCGAAAAATGTATTGAGCAATAAACCTTTCTGTTTTTATGATTAAAACGACTCTTTGTTCTCTGTTTCTTGGCGTATGAGCACACTTGGTGGAGCCCGTTTTGTGTCCCCGCCTTTATACTGCTGGCCTATTGCTAAAATCTAAAACCATTCTTACTTTCATCAGAGTCAACTGTGTACTCTATATCTCCAGGGCTCGCATTTCCGTAAACCTGCAGTAAACCCCGGATACTTCCGCGAGGTTTTCGTGATCTTAAATTACCTGCCCTTGATTTTCGTTAACATTTTACCAATCAAACGTCGAGATAAGGAAAAAGAAAATAGGTAAGGGAGGTAACTCGTATTGCCTAGAAACCAAAGCCACCGCCTGTTTTAATGGGCATGAAGACATCAAAAAGACTTTTGAGGGTTTTCTTTTGAGTGTAAGTTAGTGTTTTAATGTTGAATTTCTAGCAAACTCTTTCGTAATCAATATATGGGACTGCCGCCATGTTGTTGATATAGCCAACCTAACGTTGAGGCTGGTTTGTTACTCGCATTCTGATTGGTACGTTAGATTTGGTAGCGTAGCCAATTAAATTGGCTAACGGAACAAGGGCAGGTAATTTGAGATCGTGGGAATGGATACAGGGGTTAGTGCAGGTTTATCGAAATGCGAGTCCTGGAGATATAGAGGATGAACTTCAAGAAGGAAAATACATGCGTGTCTGTACTTGCTAAACCCGATACAGAGACATCCTCGATTATCCAGTGTATTATATCTCCATTTTATAATGATAAATACCCTGGACCCATTCGCAACAAAGACGTCGTCCACTTGACGTCACCATCTCCTACTCTCACATCAGACCGCCTCCGTGGTCTAATGGTAGAGCGTCCGCCCGGAGAGCCGAAGGTCCGGGGTTCGATCCCCAGCCGCGTCATACCAAAAGACGTTAAAAGATGGTTCTTGTTACCCTTGTTGTTGTCTGGCACTCGGCATTAAGGGGCTAAAACAAGGACTGGTCGGCTCGGAGTCAGTATACTGTGTCTGAGTGGGGTATTCATGTTAAACTGCGGCATGGTATCTTAGTGTGCTAGCACTATAAATCGGCACCAGGCCTGACTAGTACAAGCAGCCACTCACACACACATACACGTGCATGCAATAATCTTGGACGCGACGTTAAACCCCATTTCACCTCACCTCACCTCACCACTTAGGAGATAAACCTACTTTGTTTTAAATTTGGAAGTGGTATTAAATCACTGTTAATCGCGTAACGCTAGATCCCGCCTCAAAGAGCTCGAATCACACGACGGCCGTTATTAGAGTCCGGTTAGTCTTTGTTTGTTTGTTGTTAACGCCACACTCCAGCAATATTTCAGCCATACGACGACGCTCTATAAATAATCAACTCTTGACCAGACAATCCAGTGATTGACATCATGAGCATCGACCCACGCAATTTGGATACGATGACATGCATCAACAAAGTCAGCGAGCCTGACCACCCGATCCCGTTTGTCGCCTCTGAAGGCAAGCATGGGTTGCTGAAGACTTTTCTACCCCGGGTTCACGAGTCCAGGTTATTCTGTGCTGAAAAGAAATTCGACTTCAACTTTGATTAGAAGACACAAACAAACGAAAACAATTTGAACAGTCATATTAGCTTCACGACTGATGCAAAGTTTGTTTGGAATGTGACAGTCGCTTTCACGAAACTAGTTTAATAATGGATACCCGCAGTGCTTTCCGTGCTATGCATTGAATTGAGCGTGGTCTCAAGTGACGATGGCAACACAATATCCTTAATCATATCGCAAAGTCAAGGTCCATAACTATTGAATTACACGTCCCATGACTTCCACATGAACGCCTATCATATACATAACAATCACAGTGTCACCACATTCAGTCAGAGGCGGTCACAATGCTGGTTCTATTTGTCATCTCGCTTGTCCTGGCTACATCTTTAGCCCAAATCCCCATCCCCCAAAGGGAGTTGGGGTTTGTCTACAATTCTGCCAGCCCCAATGCGCCGGTGCACTTTGACTTCTACATCGACCAAATGTGCCCTTACAGCAAGGAGTCGTTTGGAACTATTCTCCAACTGGCGACCGTATATGGGCCGGAAAACATGAAACTGACGACACATTTGTTCCCGTTGCCTTACCACCGGAACTCCTTTTACGCCAGCAAGGTAAAGGTCGTGACGCATAGGATAACAACTTCTTTAATTACCGTACAGGCGACGTTTCGGTAAAGATCATTCTACCGTTGTCAAGCAAGGACAACGTTATCCCTTTACAGTACTTAAAGAAGTTGTTATTCATAATTTGTGTCTTCTTAGTAAGAATATCGTTGGCATATTTACTCTACAAAGGTGATCGAGGCACAACATGTTATAAAGTAAGGGGGCACGGGTGGCCCAGTCGTCTAAGGCGCCGCGATTCGCTGTGCACAGTTGCGTCCCTTGGGCACGCCAGAAACCTATGATTGTGGGTTCGAATCCCGGTTCGCCCCGATTATATTCTTAGGTTTGTCAGCACCATACCCCTTGCTCGTGGGTTTCACCGAAGTGGTAAACGTCTGAGACCTGCATCAATTCGGGCTTTCCTCCCACATTAAGCTGAAGCCGCGATATAACTGGAATACTGTTAAAAGCGGCGTTAAACCTAACTCACTCACTCACTGTTATAAAGTATAAATTATCATTACCCATGGTATTTTATATGCTTGGTTATCCTGCGTACTAGATCTCCATACTATTATGAAATATATACTGGACCCATATGCTACCATACCTTCTTTTTACCCCATGAGCGATGGAAACTTTGCGCGAAGCTAATTCTGTGTTTACCGCCGCACTCGGTAATAGTCCAGCTATATGACGTATGTCTATTAATGTGATTGACACCATGAGCATCGATCTACGCATTTGGGACATGATGACAGGCAAAATTAGCGAGCCTGACCACACGATCCTGTTAGTCGCCTCTTACGACAAGCATGACAAGCATCAATGTACTGTTAGGCTATATAATATAGGTATAGCTATCCCCATATGAGTGTGTCTATGTAATTAGTGTTACTGGGTTCTATGTTATTATTGTAATTATTTATTGATATATAATGTACGCGGAATCTGACTGATTTCGATGATGATGATGATGATTATGATGATGATTATGATGATGATGATGATGATATTTAACACGAATGAGTGAGGCCCGGCCCCATTGCACAGAGCTATGAAAGTGCAAACGTTCCATATATTTTTTCCTTTTGGGTTTGTTGTGAGAGTGCATGGTATTGCAGCACTGTTGTGCTTGGGTTTGTAAACAAAGACTGACGAGACCCTGTTATGCTGTTTTCCGACAGGGTTCGCACATCTTCAACAACGCGTCGGATAACGCCATGACATTCAACTGGATAAAAACTATTTACGAAAACATGGACCTTTTCTCTAATAACGCCACCATCAATTTGCCGGACATCCAGATTGTAGAGTAAGTAGTGAGCAACCGTTTTACCTGACCAAAGGGCCAACGTCATAGCAAGGCTCCGTACCCACGATCACCGGGTCCTGGTACGCGTAAGGGACGCAACTCTGCACAGGCCATTGCGCGTCTTTGATCATAGGGCCATATTCCTCTTAGATTGAAGAGGACACACTTCTGTACATATGGATTACTATGGTGATTCACAAAATTCAGCCGGCAGGGTAAGGACTGTTATCTCCTCTGCTAAACCCAAGATTGACTTGATGCAAAGTTGATTGAATTGATTGGAGTAATCGATTAAGCTGATTCAAAAAAAATAGTTTTGGGTTCCTTCCTTGAAAGCATCCTCCTCGATTGCCCAGTGAGTGAGTGGTTATTGGGCACGGGTGTCCCAGTCGTCTAAGGCGCCGCAATTCGCTGTGCATAATTGCGTCCCTTGGGCATCCAGAAACTTATGATTGTGGGTTCGAATCTCGGTTCGTCCCGATCATGTTTTTAGGTTTGTCAGCACCATACCCGTGCTCGTGGGTTTCGCCAAAGGGGAAAAACGTCTAATGCCTGCATCCTTTCAGGCTTTCCTCCCACATTAAGCTGACACGCCGTGATATAAATGGAATACTGTTCAAAGCGGCGTTAAACCCAACTCACCTACTCACTGTTCGCGGCGAAATTTCCCAGTGTATTATATCTCAAATTTATTACAATTACCCTAGACCCATTAACCCGATTGGCATGACGCTAAAAATAGCCACCCAATCAATTTACACCCATGAGCGAGGGAAATTCTGTGCCAGGCTGGTGATAATAGATAATATGGTGACGTCACTTCCGAAACGAACCTTTTGGTGGCGAATTGGTCCAGGGTATTTTAATAGAATGGAGATACAATGCAGGGAAGTAACCGAGGATATGAAAGCGCTTCCTTTAAATTTTTCGGTGAATCAATGACTTACACATCGTCTTTTGTTTCAGAATGTTTGCCAATATTGCTGACAAGATGGGCGTACCGGCCTCCCAGTTTACAGCCATGATAATGGATGAGAATATCGAGATGGACACGAGGCTCGGCTGGAAGTACTGCTGCACACGTAAGCATACCGTACTTCCTCTCGTAAAGTCCGCAGGGTGAGGTGAAGGTGAGGTGAGATAGGGTTTAACGTCATTTGCATTTTAACATGGATACCCCACTCAGACACAGTATACAGAGTCTGATCCGACCTGCCCTTGTTTTATCCCCGCGCAAGGCAGAGTAACATCAAATAACATCTTATAACGTCTTATGGATTGACGTGGTCACTAGACCACGAAGACGGTACCCCGAAAATGCCTAGCTAAACACGGGTTTAGTATGTTTAGTCACTGAATTGGATAAGGACGTTCTTAACTCACGGAAGACAAGTGAGCGAACCCTACAGATGCCTTATATTGAAGCAGTGTGTAGAGCACATAGCCGCGTGACTGTGGCACATATTGCACGAGAAATATTGCCGTTTCTCGATGTAATCTGAACGCTGAACATTTGTCTGAGCGCTCGTTGGTTTCCCTCCCGCTGGGAACAGGCCGTGGCTTGATTCGTTGGCTAAAAATAGCAACTTTCCCCGGTCGTAGGAGTTTATCCTTATACCGTTATGATCTAACAAACACGTGTACACTCTGTAACAACAATTACAAGTTACAAAGTTTCAAAAATATCGTGAAAACATTTATACCCTCTTTTTCTCAAACCATTACCTAGTAAGCACACTAACTATTTCGATTGAAAATGTCTTTTGTCAAAAGTAATGAACCTGCAAAGACCAGAGTCCATATATCGAAGATATACGGTTTGAGTTTACCGTCTCCACCGCCATTTAACACAGCGAAATTAGAAACATAGAGTGATAACAAGTTAGTCCTGATTTATTGAATTGCGGTTTCGTAGCGAAGTTATTTCAAACAGTATACTAATATATGTATCAGATATATGATAAACCATGCACAGTTAATAAAACGAGTAAAGATAACGTGAATGGGCATGTTCTATAATCTACTATCAGGAGGAGTGGCGCATACCCCGACGTTCATGGTCAACGATGTCGTGGTTGCCGGGGAACCGACGTGGACCGTGGCCGAGTGGAAACAGGTCATCGACCCCCTGCTGTCAGGGTCACCCGTCCGTCCATTGAAGGTAGGAGCTGTGCCGGGCATATAGATAACATGTGTATGAACTTTGTAAACAATCGGTGTGTTTCAGTGTTTCTCATTTGCGCTGGCTTGCAGGTAGTAAACTCTTCTGTTGTGTGGAAATCACTGCTGTGGCAAGAAAAATTGAAAAGATGTTTGTGGATGATGATGATAATGATGTGATAATGAGATGATGACAAGGACGTTATGGAACGATCCCATTAATAATAATTGATAATATCGATGATGATGATGAGGATGAGGAGGAGGATGGCGTTTGTTGATGATAAATAACGCTGACGATTGTTAATGATGAATTATGATGACAATATTATATGACGTCAATGGCGGTGACGACGACTATGAGGGCGAGGACGAGGATGATGGTAAGGGCGATGATGACGATGACGACGACGACGATGATGATGATTGACGATGATGATGATGAGGAGGATAGCGATTGTTGATGATGAATGACGCTGACGATTGTTAATGATTATGACAATATTTTATGACGTTAATGACGATTGTTGGCGATGACGACGACGATGAGGGCGAGAATGATGATAAGGGCGATGATGATGATGATGATTGTAATATTTCTGTTTCCCAGGCTGCCAACTCCACCTGTCCTCCGGGGATAAAGCAATGTGAATTCCTCCCCGGCAAGATCGAATGCTGCAAAGATGGCGAGTTCTGCATCCCTAACGTGGGATGTCGGTGTTGACAACAGCGACTGCCTGCCTTATAACAGACCTCAGCCACAGAAGTGGCCATCATATAATTATTAAAATATATATATAAATTTTTCTGAGTTTCTAGTTGATAGAGGAAGACAGGTACCTAAAATTTGTATTCCCCCAAACCCACACATGTAATAGCATTATTGAATAAGTGAAGAAGTGCTTAAATATTAACAAGCAATGAACGTCAAACACCACACACACACCACGACCCGTGAAGATCCGGGGTAGAATAGACCTTCAGCAACCCATGCTTGTAAAAGCCGACTACGCTTGTCGTAAGAGGCGACTAACGGGATCGGGTGGTCAGGCTCGCTGACTTGGTTGATGCATGTCATTGTATCCCACTTGCGTGGATCGATGCTCATGATATCAATCACTGGATTGTCTGGTCCAGACTCTTTTATTTACAGACAGCCGTCATATAGCTGGAATATTGCTGAGTGCGGCGTTAAACAACAAACAAACACAGACACCGCACGCACGCACGCACGCACGCATGCACACTGTAAACAATCCCCGGACCTGGCCAACCAATGGATGATGGCAGGAGCAACGCTCAACGTCATTGGTTTGCGATGGAGCACAATTTTGTCAGACCAGGAGGACACACGTGAAACAATATACGGAGGAGCAAAAAAATACTCAATGTGTGTATTAGTTGGCAATCATGATTAGTTAGTATCTAACCCACACCCCGGCTGTAGTGGTGTACCATCCTACCCCGACAACGTGGGTCGTAACTTTGACCAATACCCTAGCTGGAGATCCACCTGCAACGTTGATAAAAACATGATAATGTTAGCTCTTGAGTTTTCGCTGTTCTGCCTTACTACAGAGTTTGCTCATTTTAATTGTTTTTTAATAAGCATAAAATCAGAAGTGTTTTTCGAGGATGTTCTTATACCCGAATATACACAGAGCGTACACGGGTAGGCCTCAATCGATACGAAATGTATCGCGATATTCTGTCACCAGGAGATCTGACTTGGTTGTGGTTCAGGGAAAGTTGACAGCAAATCGCTACATGAATCAAATTCTTCAACCTCACCTTCTTCCAATCATTGACAGACCGCCTCCGTGGTCTTGTGGTAGAGCGTTCGCCCGGAGAGCGGAAGGTCCAGGGTTCGATCCCGGGCCGCGTCATACAAAAAGACGTTAAAAGATTGTACTTGTTGTTACCCTGTCTGGCGCTCGGCATTAAGGGGCTAAAACAAGGACTGGTCGGCTCGGAGTCAGTATACTGTGTCTGAGTGGGGTATTCATGTTAAACTGCGGCATGGTATCTCAGTGAGCTAGCACTATAAATCGGCATCAGTCCGGACTAGTACAAGCAGCCACACACACACATACACGTGCATGCACGTCGCTATATAAGTGCAATAATCTTGGACGCGACGTTAAACCCAATTTCACCTCACCTCCAATCATTGACCGCCAGAGGGAGCTGTTTCAACAGGACAACGCACCACCGCACACAGCTCGTGTCACGGTAGACTACCTCCATAATGCCAACATCTCCAGATCTCAACCCACTCGAACACCTCTGGGATGAACTCGATCGACGTGTACGTCAACGTCAGAACACGCTGCAGACACTCCCACAACTGGCCAACGCGTTACAAGCAGAATGTCGCAGAATTCCGCATACGGAATTCGTACATTTATCCAGTCAGTGCCGAGGAGATGCAGAGTCGTGATTGCTGCCCGGGGCGGTCACATGAGATACTGAGTTCAGCGCCACCTTGTGGCCTTATGCGACATGACAATGAACAGTTTTTAATTCCTTTGTACAACGACAAAATGTGACTATCGAGCTCCAAAATTTCATATTTGTATCTATGATATTAAATCGAATATATCGACTTTATTAGGTACAATAAATTTACTAAAAATCTACGTGTGCGTTTCTTTCTTTAAAGAGTGTAAAACGATACTCTGTCCACGATATGGTACACGTCACGATACTCTATCCACGATATGGTATTGTCACGACCATAAAGTTTGTACTTTTCTTTGTAAGAAACATAAAAGATTTTTCCTTTTTACAAAATCTATTTCAGAATTCAGATTTTAACAATACCAATGTATTAGTTGGATTAATGATGTGCACGGTTTAGTAAACCATCTTATGTGCAGATGTTCAAAATAATTTGTGAAACGAAATGTACCGATGCATGAAGAAGTCTGGGTTTAATATCGCAATGTATTGATGAATGACCTAGTGTTTCAACAAAACATGAATAACATTCTCCATTTTACCAGCTCGCTAACTACCCACGCGTATATTTAAGGATGTGAACGAGAATTGACAATGTCCCCGAATATTGTAATCCGGCTGAAGCGATCGTAAAATACTCCGAGGGCAGCTTTCGAAGTTGTTTTCCGCATTTCTAAGATATCAGGCACGATTCCATTCAATTACACAGTGATGCCAAAGTGGCGTTTACCGTCTTTTTATAACTACCCATCCTGAGAGTTGGAAGGAGGATGTACAAGGGTTAAACTGTTAAACTGATATTTGTGTAAGCTACAAATTGACGTGTGCTGATATACCAAAGACCTTTATCATGTCAAATCCGTCAAACTAACAACCAACGGATCCCGCTGGCTATGTTGGTAAATAATATTAAATATATATTCCAAAAATTATTATCTATCAACCTTTTCAGTTGTTCCCCGTGCTACATAATAAATTCTGTCCGGGGGTGGGTGGCTAGAGTGGGAGTCATCTTCCAAACTCTCGGTACCACTCTTAAATCCTTCACCCAACGTTTATTGTGGCATGTTATCGGTAAGCCTCCCCAAAAACCGCATGCAACCGTTCGTCAATATTCTTTGGTGATTGACTCTCTAGAGTAAAAACGTGTATACATGACATCTCTGTACTGAGTTTTGTCGATTTCAGTCCTAAGGAGTAGTGTACCTAAGAGTCGAAGTCAGTTATCAGCAAGTTACAGGACTGAAGCACGCTAAATTGTGACCGATGCCACAACAGACACAGGTCAAAGCTAATATATGTCACACGTAGGCACAACAACAACAACAACAACAACAACAACAACAACAACAACAACAACAACAACCTGAAAATATGCCAGGCTGAAAAAATTCTCATATCCCCCCGTACTTCTTGTAGTCATTTTATACGTTGGCAGTTTAAGGTGTGGCCCGGGGGAGTGGGGTGGTGTAGTGGTTAAAGCGTTTGCTTTTCACGCTGACCATCCGGGTTCGAGTCCCCACATGGGTACACTGTGACGAGCCCACGTCCTGCTGTCCCCACTGTGATATTGCTGGAAAATTGCTGAAACGGCGTAAGCCGAAATTTGGGGAGTATATGTTCACCGTGTCGGGATCCGTTGGGTGTTAGTTTGGCTGATTGGACACGATTATGTCCCTTGGTTTGTCAGCACACGGGAATTCGTAGTTAGACACAAATTAAACATCACTTTTTGTCCTTGTAATCCTTTTTTTCCATCTCGTAAGATGTATGCATGGTTATAAAAAAATGTAGACGTCAACTTGGGCTTTTTTCTGTGTAGCTGAAATACTATCCAAATCGGGTAAACTCAAATTGTGCACTCAAGATTTTTATAAGTCTCTTTCGTATGGGAGAACACTGAAGTAATTCATAAAATCCTTATCCCTATCGACAGAGAGGAGGCTATACGGTGTAAGGGAGGTAACTCGTCTGACACTATCTGCAAGCAATGTCTTTGGACCCACTTCTGCACGTGCTGCTTGACAGGTGAGTGTTCAGCGGATGTTGGTTACACTCAAGCATTGCTAGCTTGGAATGTTAGACCGTAACTTGGGTTAACCAGAAGTGGGTCAGTCTCTAAAACATGACAGGGTGTTCAACTGTAAGAAAATGTTAGTCATTTGATTAATTATATCTCGTTTACATAAATTAACAATAACATTGAACGAGCAGCGTTCACATTACTGTAGACGCAAGGTAGTCCCGTAGTTCAAGCGTTCGCTCGACAAGCTGGAAACCCGGGTTCACTTCCACACATGCGCTAAGATACACCCTTGTCGTTGTTCTTTCGTGGTAATTCTGAACAGCGATAAAAGTGGCGTAAAACATTACTCACTCGAAATTAAGATTGAAAGCCAAGGGATGCGTGTCAGAGGCTGATGTTTGATACTGATGACTTTGTGGTCCCTGGATTAAAATACAATAGCAGAAACCCCTGGTGATCCCAAGACCTCCCTCCATTTGATTGAAAGTGCTTTAAATGACCCCCTGGGAAAATAACAAAGACCTTATATTTCTGAGCTAAAGTGGTCCCCTAGACTAACATATTTATAAGTAGTTGAGTAGGTGATGAGAGTGGAATAGGGTGAATGTTTTAATAATTATATATACGCTGGGGTCTGTGAGGTAGACTAGAACACAACTAGCACTGTTGGTTTTGTTTCTAATACAGTAGAGTAGTTGTCAAAATATGATTGTAATTGAAAAAAATAAATTCTTTTATAAGCGACCCGTGAAGATTCCGGGGTAGAATAGGTCTTCAGCAACCCATACTTGCCGAAAAAGGCAACTATGCTTGTTGTAAAAGGCGACTAACAGGATCGGGTAGTCAGACTCGCTGACTTGGTTGATACATGTCATCGATCCCAATTGCGTGGATCGATGCTCATGATGTCAATCACTGGATTGTCAGGTCCAGACTCGATTATGTTACAGACCGCCGTGATATAGCTGGAGTATTGCTGAGTGCGGCGTTGTACAACAAACAAACAAAAAACAAACAAAATCTTTTATAAGGAAACAACACTCCAACTTTAAAAGTATTGAAATATGGATGGCTTTTTTCTTTGCAGACTCAAAATTTGCTATCATGGACTATAATCTTGTCTGTTTTGATTCATGTTCAGCCCTTATTGACATCTGGATAATACGTGGCTAATTAAATCAGCACCGAGACAGAGAGTTGGAGTTTTGTTGCACTTTATTTAAGTGATGATGGTAGGTAAATATACATACCGTATTTGACGTAATAAGCGCCCACGGCGATAAGTGCTCATATATTGGCTAGTGAAGAATCCCAATTAG